ACTATACTACCATATGTCAGAGGTGTCACAGACAAGATTGGCTATATCCTGAAGCGAGCTTCTATTAGAACATTCTACAAGCCGCCGAAGAAGATTAGTCAGTTCTTACCATCCGTCAAGTGTCATATTCCTCTACAAGATGCAGGAGTGTACAAGCTTGATTGTGATTGTGGTCTCTCATATATAGGGCAAACAAAGAGATCAATTAGAACCCGCGTAAAAGAACACATAGCTGACGTGAAGCATCAACGTTCCGGGAAGTTTGCAGTTTGCGTACATATTCTAGATGGCCCCAATCATTACATCAGATTTGATAGACCACAAATCCTCGCGAAAGAACATCGATTCCTACCAAGGATGATACGTGAGGCTATTGAAATTAAAAAACATCCTAATTTCAATAGAGAAGGAGGCTGGCTACTACCACCTGCTTGGGATCCTATAATTAATAAAATTAAAACTAAACCCAAGCATACCACTTCAAGACTTCAAAATACAGTTAGTTCATTCTGCGTAGATCGGACCAAAGACAATAATTAAAAAGCTGAAGGTACTCCGGGTTAACTTTGACATCGGGACGTCAGTCACCTCAGTCCCCCGTGACCATGGGTGCTGGAAAGCACCCGACAACGTCGGGTATTAAAATTAATATAAATAAAACGTGATAAAATCCGTAAAAGTAGTTTTAATCAATTGTATAGTGTTCGCGTAAAGGTATTAAGAAATATTATGAATAGGGGTTTACTAAAATCATTTTTTGATAATGTAAATAATTTCGGAAATAATCGCTCCAAAAGTAAAAATCAATGTGTCCCCCCCCCTCTAACTATTGAACCATAAGCTTAGAAAATATGAAAAAAATCTGAAAAGTAGAACTTTATAAGGACTTTCTAGGAAAATTATTTTGAACTTGCGAGGAAACACGACAGTACCCACTACGGGGAGCAGTTGCAGGAGCGCGAAGCAGCTGCTGGAGCGCGGAAAATAATGAATACCCACCTTTAAACTCATAAGTGGGAACACTTACTTTGTGACGGACGGCTGTGAAACTGTATGGAACCCTACACTGAGCGTGGCCCGACACGCTCTTGGCCGGCAATTTGTTAGTTAATATAAGGCCAGCCAGGGATTCACTGGTTCAAACACGCACACGTAAACTCACGGTTTACTACACGGGTCCAAAGTTTCTCGCCCGCGGACACGTCGGGGGGGTGGGGTGATAACTGAGAGACCGGTGCGCTCGAAACAGTGGACATTTATACTTGTGTCTTAACAGGCAATATTTATGATACTACCTTCATTCAGATTTATGAACCTTATTTTATTACATACTTATTAGCATTTTATAATCACATACACTACATCTCTTTCTTGTTAGGATTTTTAAATTTATAAATTCTACCAATCACAAATCAAATTCCAATTAAAATTTAACTAATGACGTCTTGATCCATTCCGCTGCTGATTTTGGTTCTTGACTTTCTTCTTCATCTTTGTTGGAGATATTTCTCCATTCGCCTTCTACTTTTTTTAAATGTATATTCCTCCTGTATTTTTTACCAGTTTCATCGTTTGTTACCACTCGGTCACCATTTTATGAACTTTCTACGGTATGAGGAATGGGATTGAAATAACATCAATTTATTTGGACTTTCTATTGCTTTTACGTAAACTTTGTCACCTTCCACTATTTTTGAATTAGTAGCTCTTCGCTTCCCGTCAGCACACTCTTTTCCCTTTTGTTTTTGTTCTCCGTCTCTGTCTCTTATTTCCATGTCATCTGTTCTGTTGCAGCACCAGTCGAGTGAGGGGACTTTATCTCTATTCTGTCTTTTGAAGAAAAGTTCCAATGGTGTCCTTCCAGTCACCGTTTCCAGTCAGGCTTTCTTTCATAGTGACTTATTCGTAGCCGTTTTAATATATCTCGGTTTTCCCTTTCAACCTCTCCATTCATTTGTGGCCAGTATGGTATAGTGTTAAAAGGTTTAAAGCCGCACTCTTTACAAACGACTTAAACTCGTCGCTCACAAATTGCTTACCATTGTCAGATGTTAGTGAGACAGGATATCCTAGTCTGCTGAAGATTTCCTTTAAGATTTTATTATCTGTGAACTATAAATTGCCTTTGTTACCTTCATTTCTTTGTATTTACTATAATAATCAACAACAAATACTAGATAGTCATTGTTTGGAAGTGGTCCTAATAGATCTATTGCGACATCTACTAATGAAGACGCCACAGGTAATTCATGTCTTTTCAATGGATTAGAAGGATTTGGTAAGCTTACTGATAGTGCAAATTTTACATGCTTTTACTAAATTCACAACATCTTTGTCGATTCTTGGCCACCATACTTTTGTCCTTAAATGTCCCTTCATTGCAACTGTACTGGGCCGACCTTTGTGGGCAGCTTCTAATACTCTTTTACGGAGACTATGTGGTATGACTATTTTATTTCCCCGAAGTAATAATGCCTACATAAAAAGGTATCCCAGTTTCAAAGACGCGGTAATTTTTTACAGATTCATTCCAGTTGTTGTGATATATACCCTTTTTTATGTATGTTTAGAGCTTTAGAGTATCTTTATCAGTTTCAGATGCTTCTTAATTTCCCATAATGGTACAGCTATTGGTCTAGAACTTTCAACAATCTGTTGCACATGTTAATCGCTTCCAGAAAAGCGGGCTGTTTGGGCAGTAACATAACCTTGATGAAGGGTCTGCAATATTTGATTTACCAGGTTTATATATTACCTGGTAATCATATGATTTTAGTCTTAGTATCCATCGCTCTATTCGTGCACAAGGTTTTGATTTGGGTCCAAACGGAACTTCCTAAAGACCCATGGTCCGTAATTAAGTCGATTTTTTTTCCAAACAAAATCTCTACTTCTACTGCCCATACTAGTGCCAAAGCTTCTTTTTCGGTCTGGCTGTACTTTCGCTCACAGTTTGTCAACGTGCGATTTCCGTAAGCAAATATTCGAGGTTTTGTTTGATCACTCTCTATGAGCACAGCTCCAAGTTCGACTGGACTGGCGTCTGCTATCACGTGTGTTTTATCATGGACGTCGTAATACCCCAGGAATTGTATTTTCGTTAAAGCTTGCTTTGACTGTGTAAAAGCATTGTCCTGTTCCTTCTGATATCATATAAAAGTAGTATAATCTTTCTCGTTATTAGCTTCAATTGTTGTTTCAAATGAACCCTTGTATATTCAATAGGGCAATGCTACTTGCAAATAATCTTTCTTAGGTTTTTTAATTTGGTTATAAGTTCCATTTTTCCCATCTAACACTGATTGAAGGGTTATCGCCCTCCAAACTTAAAACATCCAATGCTGGTAACAAATGCGACTTAACGGTTAGTTTAGAGGGTTGCCTGAAAATAAATGTAAATAATCATGTAACCAATTAAATGGTTACTTTTTTCTGAGACCAATTTAATGGTGGCATATGATGCCCTGGGACCAATTTAATGATGGTATATTATACCCGGTGCTCAATTTAATGACGGTATATGATACCCGGTGCTCAATTTAATGATGGTATTTGATACCCGATGCTCAATTTAATGACTGTATATTATACCCGATGCTCAATTTAATGATGGTATATTATACCCGGTGCTCAATTTAATGTATGATACATACTCATATTACGGTATTTGATACCCGATGCTCAATTTAATGATGGTATATTATACCCGGTGCTCAATTTAATGAAGGTATTTGATACCCGATACTCAATTTAAAGACGGTATTTTATACCCGATGCTCAATTTAATGACGGTATATTATACCCGATGCTCAATTTAATGAAGGTATTTGATATCCAAACTTCAATTTAATGATAGAAATATGTTCCATAACTCTCGCCTTTCTATTTTGATTTATTTGTTATGCCGACTACTTCCATTGCTGCGCCATTTAGGCTTTGGGTAAATTTAATAGCTAAAATGCGCATTTACAGTATTACTAGTTGCCTACTATTCAATTTACAGAAGCTGTGAAGTGTCCACGATTTTCTTTCAGACTTATATACGGTATGAAAGCGGTAAATAATTATTTTGTTAAGGCGATAAAATGTAAAATGCCACTAAAATTTAGCTAACGACATTGTACTTTTGTTTGAATCGAGAGGAAAGATTAGTTAAGTCGACTATTTTTCCATCAAAATCTTTTTAAATAAAGGTTGTGTTAATATGTTCAAATAAATCATTATTTTATCATTGCTACATAAGGAAAATGAATTTTGCGCACCATATACGTGTTTACATTATCAGAAAAGGGTTTAAAACCATAAGTTAATATTCATAATCCACAGTTTTTTTTTCGCGGGTACTTTAGGGATTTAGTTTACATTTTGAAATTGCAATGCTAATAGCTGCACATTGCTAACCTAGTTTTGTTCATATTTTTATATTGAAAAGGTACTTATCTTTTTTCCTCGTCGCCACTTGTTGCACACAGCCAGGGATTCACTGGTTCACAAACGCGCATGTAAACTCACAGTTTACTACACGTCCACTCTCGCCCGCGGCTCTCGTGATACTGACCGGTGCGCTTTTTTTTTTGCGCCCGAAGCAAATATTGGCAACCCTCCGGAAAGCGGGGGAGGGAGGTAGGGAGGTTGGGAATGCTCATAGCATACCACGCAGCCGGCTGCGTGGTTATGGGGTGACTTTTACCCACTAAACCCAACCTTTTAGGAATTGGCTTAACGATCTGTCTAGAGATCTCTAAGCCGTATACGAACGCGACCCTCCTTGGCAGAAAGGAGGGCGCAGCCGGTGCGCTCGAAACAGTGGACATTTATACTTGTGTCTTAACAGGCAATATTTATGATACTACCTTCATTCAGATTTATGAACCTTATTTTATTACATACTTACTAGCATTTTATAATCACATACACTACAGTTAACAAAATAAATTAACTAAAAGAGGAAAAATTACAAGATAATAATTTTTAAGTTCATGTTATCAATTACTTTTCAGTTATAATGCCTCCATCAGCTCTGGAGCAACTCACCAGATTGAGCATTGAGTATCCCATGATCTTTAAATTGACAAACAAGAAGACTAAAAGGATTACACACTGTGGTGTGTTAGAATTTGTTGCAGATGAAGGAAAAGTATATTTACCACATTGGGTTAGTATGTTAAATTTGTTTTAAATTATACTGTATTAATTACTTGTATTATTTTGGGTAGTAGACTAGTTAAAGTTAAAGCTACAACCTATATACATCCCACTGCTGGGCACAGGCCTCCCCGCATTTCTGAGAGGGTTTTAGGGCAAAGAAAAGTCTACTGCACTACCCCGATGCATGTTGACGAATTTTACATGGCCTAGATTTTTTTTCTCATTTCTTAGACATGTAGTAGTTTCCTCACGATGGTTTCCTTCATCGCTAAGCAAATGGTAAATCAGCACTTAAAATTGCAATTTAAAGTAGTTAGTTTAATTAGTGAGTTTAGTTAGTAGAGTTTCACTACTCCGGCACTTCAATACATCAGTTCGTTCAGAAGTCTGGCACCCTACTACTATGCTACGGCCACGCCTCTTTCTACCGCCGCTATCTGATCAGTATGAGCGAAAGCTTGCGCAAATAAGATCGTATGCACATTCTCGCTGTGCGAGTAGTCATTTGTCATTAAAAATAAATAAAAAATAGTGTAAATCAAGATGTCGAGCAAATGAAAACAAAAGACTAGCATTGAAAGAGTAAATGGAGATTTAAAAAAGTTAAATAGTAGAGAAAACAAGTGCAAATTGGCGAAAGAGTTGGGCTGGGCGTGCTACTGTGCACAATCTTAAGAAAAACAGTCAGAAGATAGCGGAACGCATGAAGACGATAGAGTCTGAACAAAAGATAAGCAAAGCAAATTTCAATTCTGGGCTTGAAGGGAACACTTAAGAAACAGAGCAAATGATGACAGATGAAGAAATATGTGAAGAGGTGCAAGAAGAGGAAAGCCTTACAGAAATATTGGAGCCACCAACTACCACTAACACTGAGCTGCACTAACACTTCTTTCATTATCAGGTCGAAACCAGGTGCTTTATTATTTGGTAAGTTTTTGAAAGTGTTTATGACTTCATTCATTGTTACTGCCATTGGTGTGATATCCAGTTGTAGGATCTTGATTTAAAATTTCTTCAATTTCTTTTTCAGTTTTTGTTTTTTGCTTCACTCTGGAGGCTTAACTAGTTTTTACCCATTTCCACCAAAATTACGCATGCACAATCTTTGCTACTCCCTATCCTCGACTATGCTGACATTTGTTACCTTGATATCACTGAGGAGCAATTTAATAAACTTGAGCGACCCCAAAATCTCTGTATACGGTTCATATTTGGGCTTCGTAAATATGACCATGTCTCGGAATACCGCACTAAACTCAAGTGGCTCCCAATCCGTCTTCGTCTGAATACTCATATACATTCTGCGCTCTACTGCGTCTTATTTAATTTATCAAGTCCTCCCTATCTAAAAGAACGTTTTAAATTTCTTAGCTCTTGTCACGATTTTTCCTTGCGGTCCAAAGAAAATCTTTCGCTCCAATGTCCTGTACACTCCTCGACATTTTATGATAAATTTTTTGCTGTTCTTGGAGTTAGACTCTGGAACTCCTTACCCCAGTCCATTAAAAGTGCTCAATCATTAAATGTGTTCAAGAAACAAATTAAGGAATGCTATTTGTCTCTAACTCCTCTCTCTTCCTCCTCTTAGTTATGGTCACTAATATACCTTAAGTATGTTGTCATTTTATAGTATATAAGTTGTATTTTTTTCGTCTAATTTAGTGCACCCTACCCGTTAATCTTATTTTTATTTTTATTAATTTCCTCTTCTGGGTTGTCTGGAAGAGATTGCTATGTAGCATGACCGTCTTTTGTTTTTCCCTCATTGTTTGTTCATTATTTGTTATATTTATGTTTTTTTGGTGTGCAATAAAGAGTATTGTATTGTATTTAGGCTTGAATTTGGTTTGAACACCTCTTGGTGATCCAATTGTACAAATTCTCGGAAAGCCCATAGGAAGGGAGCTTCGAAGGGAGCGCTTTGTGCCAAACCCTTCGAAGGCCTTCGCAATGTCCAAACTAACGGCCTATGCTTCCTCCTTCCTTGGACTCTACTGTCTCCGCCCATCTATGAGTCAGGTAGACCAGAAGATCACCAGCTGATCGACCACGATGAAAACCGTATTGGCGATCACTAATCAGCTGGTGAGCTGGTTATCTTCAAGGTACCTCATGAGCTGGCAGTTTACAATGGATTCATTGTTTTAGAGAACAAGGAGGTGATGGCGATAGGCCTATAGTTCGACGGGTCTGAGCGGTCGCCTTTTTTAGGGATCGGGTGGACGAATGCCGTCTTTCATGATTTTGGGACTACGCCTAGGGAGTAGGACTACCGGAAAGACGCGTTAAGATCGGTGCCAACTCTGGAGCACACGTCCTTAGCACAATTGGGGGATTCCGTCAGGCCCACTCGACTTGTGGATGTCCAGGGAGAGGAGTGCTTTGCGAACCGAACGCTGTGTGAACCGCACCTTCGGCATGAAGCACTCACACCGCGGAATGGTCGGTGGCGTACTCCCCCCGTCATCGAGAGTCGAGTTGGACGCATCGAAAGAGCCTAGCAGATCGGCTTTCTCCTTTGCGACATGGGCCAGTGAGATGCCCTCCCTGTGCAGAAATAGAAGAGATGGCTGACAGAAATTTTCCTGGACAGCCTTAGTGAGAGACCAGAATGCACGGGTTCCAGAAGTAAGGCCAACTAGTTTCTCGCCAATTCTACCTATGTCCTCTGACTTTGCCTTAGCAATGATTCTTTTGAAGGACCTGGAGGCGGAATTATACTTCTATTTTAGAGCGCTGATGTTTACATCCCGGGACGTTGAATGCTGAAAAGATATTTAGATTATTAGTTGAACTAACACCTTACCTCGTTCGTTGGGTTTTTCCATTCCCCAGAGGGAATGATGCGTGTTAGAGTCCGTCCCGACCACAACCTCTAGTCCAGTCCACTCGCTGAAGTTATGGTATGGCTGAGTTAAATGTGCAGTGCAGTAAAGTAAATGTGGCATGGAATGCAAGTAAGAAAAAGTACTTGATTTAACAGGAGCCTGCATTTGGGTAGTTGAAGAAAAATGTAAATTGAGATATTATAGAAATGATTGCAGGGTCCACGTTACATGTGGGTGTACCGACCAAGATCGTCCGGAGAAATTTCCATGTATCAGCCATAGACGAGTTCATGGTATGGTAAATATAGTGGCGTTTAGCGGCTCGTACCATCTGATTACATCGATTTCTCGCAGCTTGGAATTTTGTCCAACTAAGTTCACAACTGTTCTGTATGAATTTCCTAAAACATCTGATCGTGCTTAGACATGGCCTATGCGGCATGGGCTAGTGAGTCGTCCTTCCTGTGCAGAGATGGCAGTGATGACTGACAGAAGTTCCATTGGACAGCCTTGGCGAGAGCCCAGAATGCACGTGTTCCCGAAGAAAGGCGATGGTGCGTGTTTGTCAAAAACCTTATGAATATTACAGTTAAATGTCTTAATCCTGTCATCAGTGCTCTCTGTATTAAGTTTATCGCTCCAATCTAAAAGCGAAACATCATGTTGGAGCGTAGAAGGGCTTCTACGCTTGGCCCAGCAAATAGTCTAGCAAATTTACGCAGACGCACTATTACAGGCTTTACTTTGGGAGGTTTAATTTTATAGGAAATGAACAGCAAATCATGTTTCGAGAAACCAGGAGCAAGGAATTGTCCATGGCAGGCAACACGTTCTTGTGAGGAGATTAATAATACCAATTCTAAGAATGTATAATCAGTAGTAAGATTGTAATGGGTGGTATCAAATTTTTCAATACTTCCAATTATTGAAAAATTTACCGACTCAATAATTGAACGTAGTCCACGCGATATAGAGTATCACTAAGGAGTTGATAATTAAACTGAAAGAAGTGCCACTTTAAATTTATATAAATAACTGGGATTCGGTGGACAATAAATTGCACCAAGCACAACTTTGATTTCACTTATAACTATGATGTATAAAAAATGTAATCAAGTGATCCAGTATATTCTGAAGGCTGATAAAATTTTGTAAGGATTACTACTTCTTAGGTATACTGCCACACCACCTCCTCTTTTATCAATGCCATCGTTATGAAGTAAAACAAAACCTGGTATTCCTTAACAAATAGAAGGCGAAATTGGGTTTAACCATGTTTGTGAGATAAGTACTGCGTAGATGCTTTGAATATTAAGTTTCTAAAAGGTCATTGTAATGCTGCGGAATACTCTGGGCGTAAATAATTTTCGAATTTTTGGATTAGAAGAGGACGAAGTGTAGTAGTTCTAAGTCAGTCAGAAAATCAAAAAAAAATAGTAAATGAATCGTTATCGGAAACTGCCATGGCGCTAAAAATCAGTAAAAAAACGTTAATTTAAAAATAATAAATGCTGTATTGTAATTTAGATATTAATTTAAATTACTGCCACCAAACCTGCTGGTAGACTGTTTACAAACCGAAATTAATAAAAAAAGAAATAAAAAATGAGATAGGTATTAAACCACTTTGGTCATAAAACTATCAGAAAACATCAAACATAATATGCATCAAGTTATTAAACTAAAATAAAAGATATTTAAACGCACTAATAAATATTTCATATCGTTAGTTCGTAACCTTAGATATACACACATGTGGTTCATAACTACTTAAACTAAAAGTTGTTTACCAACTCTGAGCGGCCAGCGAAAAAAAGGGACCTGTCATATTAAGTTGAACAATCATTAACCATACATGTATAATAATCAAATAAATTATCCTGACAAGTGCCTAATATTAGTACTTTTAACCGTACGCCTAGTTCGATGTATTTCGCTCGTGTATCTAGCGCGTGTTTCCAGGCTCCCTCTAAGCCCTGGTTTCTTCCATCACTGGTTGAGGTTCCTCATCACATCCTGCTTTGCTATGTTCATGTACCAGTCAGTTGAGCTCTTAATTGGATTGATTACTCTGGCGAGAACTATGGGGCAACCTGACGCTGATGAAGACATTTGAGACCAGACCTTTTTCATCCCAAATTATTTTCGAGCTTACGAGAATAAATTTTGTCTGTATTTTGTGAGAAACTCGGATAACGAAAACGGTGTTCCCTTCAACATAGCCTTCTTGTACCAGGCGGTAGAACGCATCGAGAAAACAGCAAAGCGGAAAAGTATCGGTAAAATTTAAACGACATTTCTCTCGTCTCGTTTCTGAAATGCTTATAACGACATTGGGCACATCTTCATCTGCTTTTTCTGGAACACCACTTACCAGAAAATATTTTCTGCGGTGCCTTGTGTCGATGCTGTCAACTGACCGACTAATCTCTGCTGTTTGTTGGCGAAGCAGGTCGAACATGTCTTGAACAAAGTCCCGAAACGACGTAAAATCCTGGCCAACCTTCTGAACAGCAATAGCTAGCAATAGCAAGCACTGGAAACAGCTTTGGAAAACAAATATTGTCTGCAAATCCCAAAATTTTAGAATTTTAGCTTTTTGGGTTTTATTTTTAGTTACATAGAATGTAAATTGCGTCATGAAAATGTATAAGTATTAAATCTACAATTTGTAGAATAACTGAGCTGGACCATTTAAAGTGCAGTATAGGCCATCTGACCGAGAGAAAGTCCACACTCACGATTCCAGTATAAATAGCAACATATTCCTACTATTTTCTCAAACCGTTAAAGAAAGATGCAAATGCGTGTGTAAATGAGTGTTCATACTTCTTACAATAAGTTAAATATGGTTATGACTTGGTTTTCGGCTTCACTATAAATGTGCACAGTACTAAGTCTATCTTTCTTTCTTACTTTGAGATTGTTTTGAATGGTTTTGATGAGAATTGTAAAAGTGGATAGGTTTAAATATAATAAAACTGACATTTTTTATATAGTAAAAACTTGCAATATGGATAATGATATTAAATATTGTATTTTTAGTTTAAAATTCAGAATAGCAGGAGTTAGAAGCATTTGCTATTTATATGACTAATATATCGTAATAAATTATACAACAGTTTCTTATTAAAAAGATATCATAATTTCGTTTAATTACTTTATTTATTAATTATTATTGTATTTGTCACTAGATGATGGCAAATTTAGTACTTGAAGAAGGTGCATTATTACAAATTGAAAGTGTCTCCCTGCCAGTAGCAACATTTTCAAAGTTCCAGCCACTCTCTGAAGATTTCTTAGATATCACTAACCCTAAAGCAGGTAAGCATTAAATTAAAAAGCAATTATCCCTTGACCTACATGAAATATCGTAGTAGTATTTAACATAACATAACTGTATATTGAAGACATATTTAAAGAGTATCCACTATTTCATATAATTCTGTAAGTGTAGGACACGATAGAGGGTAATTAAAGAAGTGATGAACATCGGCATCTTACTTATAACAACTTAAAATATATAATGAAGTTCGGTTGTCAACCAGCCTGTACAGCGTGGCAATTATGGCAAATACCCCATATGAGGCAATCCATGGCGGAGGCCTATGCTTGGCAATAGAATTTTGATAACTTGTTTTTATAGAAAAGGTGTGACAAGTGAGCATAAAGGTTAACCCCGAGGTAAAAGTAAAGTTACAGCCTATATACGTCCCACTGCTGGGCTCAGGCCGCCCCTCATTTCTGAGAGGGTTTAGGGCAAGGAAGTGTCCGCCGCGCTGCCCAAATGCGTGTTGACGAACTTCACATGTCTTCGAAATATTTTTTTTCTTATTCTTCAGACATGCAGGTTTCCTCACGATGTTTTCCTTCACCGCCGAGCACGTGGTAAATCAGCACTTAAAATTGCAATCAACAATTTCATTGGTGCCGGCGGGGATCGAACCCGGGTTACTCGCGTTCTGTTTTATTTACAGCGAGCGTTAACCACTGAGCTACCACGGCTCTAACCTCGGCTCGGCGACCCCGAGGACTAAGATGGAATGCCTCATTTCCAGTAAAAAGTGTCTCCAGTTCTCTTCACTCATTATACGACACACAGCAGCATTATTCTAATATTTCACGCTAGTATTCTATGAGAGCATGGTCTTACCGCAGTCGGCCAGACCTACTCGTCACCGTAACCATTACAGCTTGGCACTAAACCAAAATTTTTACAAACTTGTAACTGTACTGCCTTTCTACTGGACTACCTGGGTAGTGTAACCGTGTGGTGTGTATAGTTAAATATTCCAACAACCTAATGCATTTTTGGAATGATCAGCTGTAAACCTAGAATTTCGGCTTGCTTGAAGTCGGAATATAGCAGCATGCAAAGCAGAATATAACAGTGCACATACTTCCGGTCTGAAGGATGTAAAGAGCCAGTATAATTACAGGGAGGGAGGCATTGCATTTTAGTCCTCAGTGGTGAAAACGCTTTCGTGACCTTTGCTTAAAGTTGGTTGTAGATGTTCTTGGGCTGCAGTAGCTATTTTTAAAGGTTAAGAGCGCATATTCAAATATGTCCAAGTCGAAATCTACGCGATCGCTTTGGAACGGCGTAATATTGACGCACACTACAATGTTATCTCTGTGTGCGTGTCAGTGCGAGTTCGACGCTAGTTGCTTTTAAGCTGGCTTTCCACTATGGGATATAATACATATTATATCCCGAAATATAAATTATATCCCACGATTGCCCTTCACACTGTGAGATATATCTTTTAACCAGTGTGCGTTCGTCATTGGATGATCTGAGGACGTAGCGGAGGCGCGGAAGGGTGTGCGGAGTACAGGAGGTGAAATATAATATGAAAATATCGCTCGGTCGATCGAAAAAATATTTATAGTTTGGGATGTAATATATATTATATCTCAGTGGAAACGGTTCCATTTAAAAGTATGGTGAGCGATATTAATTTACATATCGAGATGTAATATAAATTATATTATATCCCATAGTGGAAAATCGGCTTTAGTTGCACGAATCATTTTTATATTATTAGAACTAAAAGAATAAAAAAATAATTTCCACATAATGGCTTAAATAGTATATAGAAATTAGAAATTGGAGGCTAATATGTTGAAATTGTTTTATTCTTTTAGTACATTGAAGTCGGCTTTACATTTTCACCCTATTGAGTATAATATAAAATATGTTCTAATTAAAAATATGTACTATATAAAATGTACATATATCATTTGATAAACTTTTATTCTGTTTCATAATGTAAACATAATTCATCAAACTAACAATTTCATTAGTGTCGGCGGGGATCGAACCCGGATTGCTCGCGTTTATGGCGAACACCGCCCTTGAGCTACTCAACTCAAGCACGGCTCATATCTATGTCTTTCTTTAATCATAACGTTATCTCCACACTAGGAATTTTTCCTAAGTACATCGTGGAGGCAGTTTAAATACATTAATTTCACAAGGACAAACATACAGACCCGGAACAATTATTTGTGGGTTACAGAAATTTTTGTTCCGTCTGGGATTCGAACCCGCGGCGCTCAGTGCTACAACTAATTACCAAGTCACTCCGCCACGGAGCCAAAGGTGAAAGCCAACGATTTTGTATTTTTACTAGAGCCGAATTGCTTATGTTTATTACCCATTTCTAAAAAAATATGTATGAAAGGTAAATTTGCTACCATTAAATCATTTATTATTTAAATATTACCATTATCATATTTCAAAATTACTTACTACCAAAAATATCGCTTAAAAAGTCTCAATCGTTTAAAATGCTTGATGGTGCTATAGGTAGCTAGTTATAGTATATCCCTATCGGTGTATTAACGCGATCGCGCGGTGTCGGTGAGAAAAAGTGATACGTCCTGTCGTTGGGATTACCCGGAGCGTACTGAATCGGACGGCGTCTGCGCGTGATGATTTATAGTATTTTTAAAATAATTATATAAAATAATTGACAAAATAAAACCAGCTAAAACTTTTTTTGGATGTTTAACATTACATGTGTTTTGATAAAATAATTAAAATAGATATGTTTATAACTAAATACACGGAAAAAAATTACATTGAAGTAGACAGTTTTGGTGATTTTATAATATTGTTTTATAATATTAAATCGAAATATATTCGTAATTTAGGTTTTGCTATACACTAAAAGACTATATATTCCATTATACTAACGCTTAAAATAAAGTATTTTAGCTTATAATAATGGTTGTATTCAACCTGAAAGATAACTCTGACGCATATTTTCGTAAAACGCTGTGAAGGGATTGTCTTCGCTCTAAAAAACCTTCATTAAAAACTATGATTTTGCATTTCTATGTATAGTAAAGCTATAATAAAGACTTCATCTTTCTAAAGAACTAATTTTCGGCAAATAATCTCCTCACATCGTTACGATATCGCCCTTGGAAAAACCCTAAAACATGTAATTTTCGATGCGAAACGCATATGCCCTCTTAAGGTTAAAAAATCTGAAAAAAAAACTCGCCTTGAAAAATCAAATATACTATATATATGATAGATAGTTCATAGAAGGTACAAAATAAGTAATATAGGCGAATGGTGAAGAAAAATTCGTTAATTTAAAAAAAAACTTAAACATTCGGTCCTTTTATCGTTTAAATTCAGAATGCATGGTAATGCATTATTTTAAGTTTTAACTGATTGTTATTCATAAATATCTAACGCATACTATTTTACTATGCACGCACACATTCGTAAGGGTCACTCGTTCGTCAAAAACTTTATAAATTGAATAGCACACAGAGGAGCACACGTACGCGTGTTGTGTGTAATGTAAATATAGTTACTCGTATTTTAAAAAACTGCAATAACGGTTTATCATTATTTATATATTGATTAAAACTACTTTTACGGATTTTATCGCGTTTATTTTACTTTTAATTACTTTTCTAATTCCCGACGTTTCGGGCGCTTTCCAGCACCCATGGTCACGGGGGACTGAGATGACTGACGTCCCGATGGCATTGTTAAACCCGGAGTACCTTCAGCTTTTTTAATTATTGTTTATGGTCCGATCTATGCAAAATGAACTGACTTTGTCCTGAGGTCTTGCTGTGGTATGCTTGGGTTTAGTTTTAATTTTATTGATTATAGGATCCCAAGCAGGTGGTAGTACCCAGCCTCCTTCTCTATTGAAATTAGGATGTTTTTTTAATTTCAATAGCCTCACGTATCATCCTTGGTAGGAATCGGTGTTCTTTCGCGAGGATTTGTGGTCTATCAAATCTGATGTAATGGTTGGGGCCGTCTAGGATATGATCGCAAACTGCGGACTTCCCGGAACGTTGATGCTTCAGCTATATGTTCTTTTTCGCTTTTATATATTTGAACTTAAATAGAAAATTTGGATACACTTTGAAAAATAACCCTGAATTTATATACTTAAGTTTTATGATGTAAATTGTTAAAAGAATTGCGCCTTTTATTTTCAGTACTTGAAAACTGCCTCAGAAATTTCTCTTGCTTGACAACAGGTGATGTGATCGCCATTAAATATAACTCAAAAGTCTATGAATTATGCGTTCTAGAAACCAAACCGGGAAATGCTGTGATCATTATTGAATGTGATATGAATGTAAGTATAATAAAGTCTTACGCCTAAATTAATTAGAAATAAACGTTATTTACTATTATTATTATGGGGTATTAGTAGTGTATTCTCATCTGGTTGGGCTGAATAAATATATAAAAGGAAATAATAAATATACATAAATATATACTTCATATACATGCATAAATAAATAAATAATACATAAATAATTAAACCCCAACCAGATGGAGGGCCTCGGCAGGGGAGACCAAACGGCCGAGGGTTAGGGGGAAAGGAAGAGAAACCGGCGGACGATGCGGGCGGTATCGAGGAGCAACGCCTTCTGCATTTGAGCCTGGAGCGGTCCGTCACGGAGTCCCAGCCGCCTCAGATGACCCGAGAGGCTGACTGGGATTAGCCCGTTTGCAGAAACGACTACAGGAATAATTTCAGTCGGCAGACCCCCCCAAATTTCGGTCACCTCGTGAGCCAGGTGCAGATATTTTGTTCGCTTATCTGTTTCGGCTTTCACGAGGCTCTCGTCATACGGAATGGTAATGTCGACCAAAAATATCCTTGACTGTGCTGTCCTGTCTGTGATGATGGCCCGGTCCCAGTAGAGCCTGGCGCGGTCATTTTCGAGCACGGCTACCGACAAGTACTTGTAATACGGCACTTTTCGGTCCACGAGACCGTATTTCAGAGCGAGCTCCTGGTGTAGAATTCTGGCTACTAGGTTGTGCCTGTGCAAGTACTCAGAGTTAGAAAGCGCCGAACAACCGGAGATGACATGCCTAAGTGACTCACCGGGATGGCGACAAGCTCGACAGACGTCGATGGTGCCATCCTTTAGGATGTATCTCCGATAGTTGTTTGTCTTAATAACCTAATCCGTTATTGACACAGACAAAACCCTCGGTTTCCCCGAAAAGGTCACCGAAACGTAGCCAGTTGAGGGAGGCGACTGTATCTACGAAGGGCTCATGTAGAGCCCTGTAGTACTTCCCGTGGAGCTCCTTCTCCTTCCATACGGTCTCCCGGTCGGAAATGCTTTGTACTGCCGGGTCCTGCCATTGCTCGTTGGCTAAGGATAGAGGGGTAAGCTCTTTATCACTAGAAATGACGTCATTATAGAATGGATCATCCGATCTCGCCAGGAAGTAATCACGGAGGCTGCACACTTCGCGATTATGCATGGTGAGCGCGCTCAGGAAGCCACGCCCACCATGTTTTCGCGGCAAGTACAGCCTCATTACCGATGATCTCGAATGATGCATCCTATGGGACGTCATGGTAGTGCGGACTTTTCTATCCAGGGCGTTAAGTTCAGTCTGAGTCCACCTGAGTATGCCAAAGGTATACATGAGGACAGGCATGACCCAGCCGTTATATGCGTGTGCCTTATTCACACCAGGCAAAAGGCTGTTAAGCACTTTGGTCAAGCGTGCATAAAGCATGTCGCAAACTGACTGTTTCATACCAGCCTCATCAATACCGATGTTCTGTGACACACCCAGGTATCGGTATGTTTCAGCCTCAGAAAGGGTCCTTAAACTGATGTGCATAGATAAGTCTATGCTCTCAGAGTTAGCAACCCTTCCCCTTTCAACATGGAGCACCGCACACTTATCCGTCCCCAACTCTATTCCAATAGAATTGCTAAATTCACAAGTGATGTTTAGCAATTCCACAACATGAGAGCGACTGGAGGCGAATAACTTGAGGTCATCCATATAAAAAAGGTGAGTCACTTTTGTACCTCCTTTCCGAAGCTGAAAACCCCTCCTGGAGCCCTCCAGTAAAGTACTGAGAGGGTTCAAAGAGAGGCAGAACCAGATTTGACTCAGGCAATCGCTCTGGAAGATACCCCTTCTTATCCTTATGTGGCTTTCCGCAGCCGTCATCCGCTCGCCCAGACGACAAAGGATCGTCTCTACTTCCCCATACACTGCCCGACGAAGTCTCTAACTGTGCAATCAGTCTTGTAAAGCTCGAGGACCCTTTTTAGCCATGTATGGGGCACCAAGTCGAATGCCTTTCTGTAGTCTATCCAGGCAGCGGAGAAGTTCCGACGGAATATTATTATTATTATTAGCGAGTCTACTAGAGATGCCAAGAGCCTTGCAACCAGTTTTGCAATTTTGACGGATCAATGGGCAGTTACAGCGCTAAGGGTCGCGGGTTTGTATCCCTCACGGAACAAGTAATGTATGGCCTACAAAAATTATTGTTTCTGGTTTGAATGTGTCCTTGTGCAATATATGTATGTAAACTGCCCTCACGATTCTTCTTCTTTAAGTGCCTCTCCATTACTGAAGGTCGGCAGTCATCCTTCTAAATTCTTTGTTCAGGGCTAGTCTGAACAGATCTTCAACTTTCTTTATCCCGGTCCATTTCCGGATGTTACATAGCCACGATATTTTCCTTCTACCAACACCTCTTACCCGCTACTTTGCCCATCATAATAGTCTGCAGCAGATGGTAACGTATGCCTTGGCACGTGTCCTAGGTACGCAACTTTTCTCTGTTTGATGGTTTTGACAAGTAGGGACATATTCCTTTTCATCTGCTTGAGAACCTCAATGTCAAACTTTGTCTTTCCAACTTATTCGGAGCATACGGCGATACATCCACATTTCAAATGCTCCTAGTTTCATACGGAGATCTTCTTTCATAGTCCAAGATTCGCATCCGTATAGTATGACAGACCAAATATAGCATTGCATGAGTCTTGTACGTAGTTCAATTGATAGTCTCCTTGTAGTAAGGACTTTGCTCATCCTCATGAAAGAGGCTCTTGCAGTTTCAATTCAAACAGAACAACATTCAGAATCTATGATCCGCGCGTTCAGTATGGGATGCAACCTTTTGGGTCTGACGTACGCACTGGCCACATCAGTAACACTTCAAACAACAGTTGTACAAATAAATAAATGTTAATAATTTCTAAATCTAATCGAATCGTATTTAATCTTCTGAAGAAATGTAAATATTTACAAATTCTTTGCAAGCCTTACTTCGCTCTAGAATTGTTATTTTCAATTAACTTCATAAAGATTTTATTTCAATAAAAATACGTGGATATAGTTGGATTAAAATACACGGATCCACTGTTGATTGACACCCTCTTTACAGTTACAAGATTGCATTGGATTTAAAAAAAATGAACCAATTTATTTTTGCAGGTTGAGTTTGCTCCTCCTGTTGGTTACAAAGAAGAAGAACACATTCCAAGAAGCGCCGATGGCAACTCTGGACAAAGCATGGACGAAGATCCAGCTGTCATGATGCCAGAGCCTAGTGGCTTCGTAGCTTTTAGCGGTGAAGGCAACCGGCTTGATGGCAAGAAAAAAAAACTCACCAGTGAAAGCGAGTCTGAATCACAGAACACTCAAGCCAGACAAGTAAATTTATAATTTTATAAACAAAATCATATTTGTATGATACTGTGACTCAACAATGTGATGTCTTTAAGTTAAGTTTTCTACTTCGTACAACTTCCTTGTAGAATCGACTACCACCAGTGATTTTTCCGGATCGATACGACTTAGGGATCTGCAAGAAAAGAACCTACTCTTTCTCAATATGCTAACCAGGTGCGTTACTTGCAATTCCCCTGGTGTCGCAGTTGTTTATCGAAAGCGGTAGTCATTTACTATTTGGTGAGCCGCATGCTCTTATATAAAAATAAGTCTGGGTAGGCAAAATTAGAAAATTCTGCTTCAAACTGCGTCTAGGTCCAGATAATTGATAAATTTTTATAAATTCCTATAATATAGGTATTAGCTAGGTACATACTATTACGCTTTATTCATTCAAATTAATACTATAACGGTCTCCATAATAATATGCATATATTTACAATAATGCTTTGGCCGCACCTGCGTGTATCGTCCCGAAGTAATGCGTGCAGAAGCTTCGTACGTTTTGACACTAAAAAGTTATCGTGATAAAAGCTGTGGTCATATTAGCGGCTTCGATATTTTGCATGAGCTATCGTGCAATAATCCAAGATGGCCGAAATCATTTTCAAAAGTTTAACTATGGACGACGAATTTCTTTACTTCTACATGTGTGCTTACAATTACATGATACATTTATTAAAATCTAAAAAAAAGAAACCTTAAATCTAAAAAAAGGAATTCCAGTACCATTTCATCACTCCACTCCATTTTTACACAGCCACCTGCATGCGTCTGAACTAATCAAAAACAACGGCCGAAATGAACAACGCTGGTCTGACCAGGCAGCGCGATATGTTGAAGCGCTAAAATCCTTTGATGTACCGCCACCCGCGCGATAACACCCGTACACGTGAGTGTACGTACGTGTACGCAACCCGAATGTTCGCGACGATAGCCGATAATAGCCGGTCACATCTGCGTGTATCGTGTCGCTTTTGTGGCGATACACGCAGATGTGGCCTTAGCATATGACTTATAACGTGAAAGAAAACTATAATAAACTTTATAGTCTAAGATCCGAACTAACATCGAACTTCACCTTTCCGTTTACTGCATGAAAATAATTTTTGTTAAATAATGTTTTACAAAAAAGTTAATGATTTAAAGAAAATGTATAATACTTATTGGACGCGCCAATAATGTGATTTTCTTCGATAAAGATTTAGTGGACTGTAATAGTACTTACAACAAACAATGCAATGAAATTAGACGAGAGAGGAATGCACGTACTCACCATTTGAGGGACTGCTTCGCCTTCCTTTAGGAGTATCATCAGCTAACAAAGCAGATTCACCACGTGGGTCGGCGCACGCACTCTTAAATCAGTTCCAGGATGCCCGCACCCCTTCTTAACTCTTGACTTGTTATCGCGGAAAGGCGCGTCACATTTACGAAATTACTAGGACTAAATGTCCGGTGATCAATAACATTAAAAAAGGAGATCAAAGGACGCAATGTCCTTTGTGCGGTTGCGGTTGCGGTTGCTATCCGATCATTACTAACTGCTGCCACGCGGTGTAAATAGGAAAGGAAAAGAGAGGTTAAAGATATGTAGCAAGTATTTTATTTTAGGTGTTACCACTTTTAATGAAGTTCACTTATAATGAAGTTTTTAATAACTTTGTACAATTCAGAATTAAATACGTTATATTTTTTTTTTAAATTATGATCATGTTTAAATTTTTGTTAGCTATGAATATCTTAATACAATAATGATTTCTTATATTTACGCGAACACTACACATTGAAATAATACTAGTTTTTACGGAATTTATCGCGTATATTTTAACTTTTTAATCACCCGACGTTTCGAACGCTTTACAGCACTCATGGTCACGGGCAGGACTGAGATGTTCAACGTCCATATGTCATAGTTAACCGCGGTTACCATAGATTAAAATTTTACTTTTGTTCCGATCTATGCAGTATGAACTTATGGTATCTTGAAGTCTTGCAGTTGTATGCTTGGGTTGGGATTTAATTTTATTTATTATAGGATCCCAAGCAGATGGTAGCACCCAGCCATCTTCTCTATTGAAATTAGGATGTTTTTTGATTTCAATAGCCTCGCGAATCATCCTTGGAAAGAATCGGTGTTCTTTAGCGAGGATCTGCGGTCTATCAAATCTGATGTAGTGACGGGGGCGATCCTGTACGTGTTCACAGACTGCAGACTTCCCGGAGCGTCGATTCTTCACATCAGCTATATGTTCTTTAACGCGGGTTTTTATTGATCTTTTAGTTTGTCCTATGTAGGAGAGACCACATTCACAATCAAGCTTGTACACTCCTGCATCTTGCAGAGGGACATTACACTTGACCGATGGTAAAAACTGACCAATCTTCTTCAGCGGCTTGAAGTATGTTTTGATGGAAGCGCGCTTCAAGATGTAGCCAATCTTGTCAGTGACTCCTCTAACATATGGCAGTACAGCAGGTACACGCTCGACTGTGGCCGGCTTCACTCGTTCTCTGTGACGTAGGCGCGGGACTCGAAGCTTGTTGTCATGCAAAACTTGCTTGACATGGTGGAGCTCTGCAGCCAGGTGTTTACTGTCACAGATCCCTCGTGCTCTCTGAAACAAAGATTTACCCACGGTAGCTAACTGTGAAGGATGGTGGTGAGAATCACCGTTTAAATATCTATCTGTATGGGTCTTTTTTCTATACACAGTATGGCTCAAGGTGTTATCAGGATTCCGAACTATGAGGCAAACAATTCCTTAGCTTTTCTAGATGCGTTAGTAGTTCGGAATCCTGATAACACCTTGAGCCATACTGTGTATAGAAAAAAGACCCATACAGATAGATATTTAAACGGTGATTCTCACCACCATCCTTCACAGTTAGCTACCGTGGGTAAATCTTTGTTTCAGAGAGCACGAGGGATCTGTGACAGTAAACACCTGGCTGCAGAGCTCCACCATGTCAAGCAAGTTTTGCATGACAACAAGCTTCGAGTCCCGCGCCTACGTCACAGAGAACGAGTGTAGCCGGCCACAGTCGAGCGTGTACCTGCTGTACTGCCATATGTTAGAGGAGTCACTGACAAGATTGGCTACATCTTGAAGCGCGCTTCCATCAAAACATACTTCAAGCCGCTGAAGAAGATTGGTCAGTTTTTACCATCGGTCAAGTGTAATGTCCCTCTGCAAGATGCAGGAGTGTACAAGCTTGATTGTGAATGTGGTCTCTCCTACATAGGACAAACTAAAAGATCAATAAAAACCCGCGTTAAAGAACATATAGCTGATGTGAAGAATCGACGCTCCGGGAAGTCTGCAGTCTGTGAACACGTACAGGATCGCCCCCGTCACTACATCAGATTTGATAGACCGCAGATCCTCGCTAAAGAACACCGATTCTTTCCAAGGATGATTCGCGAGGCTATTGAAATCAAAAAACATCCTAATTTCAATAGAGAAGATGGCTGGGTGCTACCATCTGCTTGGGATCCTATAATAAATAAAATTAAATCCCAACCCAAGCATACAACTGCAAGACTTCAAGATACCATAAGTTCATACTGCATAGATCGGAACAAAAGTTAAATTTTAATCTATGGTAACCGCGGTTAACTATGACATATGGACGTTGAACATCTCAGTCCTGCCCGTGACCATGAGTGCTGTAAAGCGTTCGAAACGTCGGGTGTTTAAAAAAGTTAAAATATACGCGATAAATTCCGTAAAAACTAGTATTATTTCAATTAATACAATAAATTACGTGTCACGTTGTTTGTCCGCAATAGACTCCGAAACTACTTAACCGATTTTAATCAAATTTGCACACCATGTGTAGTTGGGTCCAACTTGAGAGATAGGAATTTTTTTTTTGCCCATGAGTGACACACAATTTTTTTTTGTGGGTTTAAGGATTTTTAATAGGACATGACAAAGGTTCGTCAAAAAGGGCAGAACAACGTCTGCCTGGCAAGGTAATATATATTTCATCAGGCAATCCATCCGCGATATTTTCATTGTTTGATAAAATATAATAGGCGACGCACACCAGCTCGTCCCCGTTGGTGTGGAATGCAGCGCGCAAAGCGGCGATGGGGACCGCCACACGTCACGCACAGCCCGACACGGCGGAAGGTGGAGGACGGAGTGCAGAGATGCAAGGAAAGGGGTCTTCTTGTGACAAACACTATGTTTAATCACAGGAAAATCCATATGTACACTAGAGAAAGAAAGAATGTGAGAAGTATGATTGATTTGTTCCTGGTGGATGACCGACTGCGAAAACAGGTGATGGATACACGAGTGTTCAGGGGTGCTGACCTGGGAACGGATCATTATCTAGTAATTACTAGATTTAGGGGTTTGTTCGCGGGTTGGCGCTACCGGACGGCAGTAACAGAACCACAGTCGGTCTGTCGCATCCGAAGCTGGAAGCTTCAGGAAGCGGATACTAGGGACAAATATCACACGAGGGTAGCCGAAAAGCTTGACACCATCGATGGCAGGAAAGAATGTGTGGAGAGAACATGGCAGAACCTTAGGGATGGAATGGTAAGTGCAGCGGAAGAAGTATGTGGTACGACAAAAAGAGGTAGTAGTAAAAGAAGAGATGCATGGTGGAATGATGAAGTGAGAGAAGCTGTAAAAAAGAAGAAAAAAGCATGGTTAGACTACTTGGCCTCTAGTAACGATGAGCATATGAGAGAGAAGATGAAAGAAAGATATAAGCTGCAGAAAGTTCATGCGAAAACATTGATTGAGGAAGTACGTGAAAGGTGTAGAATAGAAGCGGACGAGAGGTTGTCGCACAACTTTAGGGAAAACTCCAAACTCTTCTGGAAAGAGGTTGGAAGGTTCCGGAGTGGTGCGACAGCCTTAAGAATGACCAAAGTGCTTTCGGGAACCAATGACGTCCTCTCAGAAAAATCGGACGTCATGCAGCGATGGAGTGAATTTTATAGAGAAATGTATGCGTGTCATGATCTTAGTGAAGGATCCGGGGGTGACGCCGTGACTGGCACGCCAGACACGGACCTCGATGACACTGAGGTCATCAGCATGAAAGAGATTGAACGTGCGATTCGAAGTTTGAAATGTGGTAAGGCTGCGGGACTAGACAGAGTTACTGCTGAAATGGTCAAGTACGGTGGGCCTCGCGTCTGGGACAGCTTCCATCTGCTGTGCAATTTGTGGTGGCGGACGGGAGATGTCCCGGATGATTGGCGATCCGCGGTCATTGTGCCTTTATATAAAGGTAAAGGTTCACATTTTGACTGCGGGTGCTATCGGGCGATCAGCTTGACCAGTTTAGCAAGTAAAGTTTACTCGAAGGTAGAGACACGTAGGATGCAAGAGAAACCGGAAAGATTCTTATGGGAGGCACAATGCGGATTTAGACCTAGAAGAGGATGCACGGATCAAATGTTTTCTCTCCGCATGATCACGGAGAAGCTTCTGAGTGTTAACCAGATGATTTTCTGTGCTTTTGTGGACTGGAGAAAGCATTTGATAAGGTTATAAGGAAGAAAATGTGGGAACTGTTGCCGGGATATGGTGTGGATGGTCGATTGTTAAGGGCTGTGCAGTCACTTTACTATGACTGTAAAGCCTGTGTGCGGGTAGGGCATGACCTGTCACCCATGTTTAGCGTCCAAGCGGGCGTATAACAGGGTTGTGTCATGTCTTCCTGGCTGTTCATACTGTATCTCGACAGCTGTTTACAGAAGCTGAAAAATAACTGTTTGGGTGTGAAATTGGGTGACATAAAAGTTAATTGTCGGCTGTATGCTGATGATGCAGTGCTTATTGCACCATCAGAAGCAGAACTGCAGGCATTAGTCACGTGTATGAAAGAGGAATGTGAAATTAAAGGTCTCCGTTTGAATGCTAATAAAACTAAGGTTCTGGTATTTGAAAAGGACGAAGAGAGAACGAAATGTGAAATATGGGTAAATCAGGAATGTCTAGAACAGGTAAAAGAAATTGTATACTTGGGGAGTGCTTTCAGCCGGGATGGAAGATGTGATTTAGATGTGGATAGGCGTGTCGCTGCCGGAAACAAAGTCAATGGTGCCCTGAATGCATTAGTAAAAAGGCAAGGCGTGGTGAAGAGTGCACGCCTTGCAATACATAACGCAGTGTTGGTACCGACTTTGTTATATGGCAGCGAAACTTGGGTATGCCAGAAGAAGCAAGTTGAATGCAGTGGAGATGCGATCTCTTCGTAAAATGTGTGGCGTTACCATAGCCGACCGAAAGCGAAACGAAGAGATTCGCAATATGGCAGGATTGAAAAATGACCTTATCACAAAAATTGATAGGGGCGTACTCCAATGGTTTGGGCACGTTGAACGAATGAGTGAAGACCGAATGGTGAAGAAAATATATAGAGCGAAAGTAAATATTAAAAGGTGTCGAGGTAGACCGAGACTAACTTTCGAAGACCATGTGAGCAAATTGCTCGAAGAGGGGAGGGTCAAGAGTACTCGGATACCTAGACGTGCATGTATGAAGAAGTTAATGAACCTGAAAGAAGCGAAAGAGGTATGTAAGGATCGTGACACTTGGCGATCTGTTCTCTCTGGCTACCCCGTTAGGGATTGTGCGTGAAGATAAGTAAGTAAGTAAGTATAAAATATAATTTGCATCCTTACTGAATTTTGGCGAAGAGTGAAGTTCGATGTTAATTCGAATCCAAGGAGCATAAATATAATCACTGTTATGGTCTTGTACGGCAAAAACGAACGACTAAATTGAAATAAATGTCCCAACACGCATGCGCGAAAGTGATGTACGTAGTTAGTTCATGACAATACAAATTTCAAAGCAGTAGTCACCAATAACAGTTGTTTGAATATAGTAACCAGCCAAAAGTGTGCGATCCGTATCCTTAACCTTTGGTTAACTGTCGCTTATCCATTCGAAAGTTAGGTCTATACGTAAAAAATATTGATAACCAACTTAGCACATTCACTCCAAAAACCTGATTTAATTAGTCCACCTCTATTAATTAATTAAAATCTAGTGCATTTTAACTATCCTATCAGGTTAAGTGCGTTTTAAAATTAAATAGGCTATTGATTACTTTTACTGAACACTTTTTTTTTAGATAATTTATAGAGACGAAGAATTTTAATATTATTATCTCGTTCACCGACTTAAAGCATATCAAAAAGCCCACCTACATACATACATACTGGTGGTAGGGAATGTTTTTATTAAGAAAGTAGTAACCAATCCAAGTGAGCTTTAAAATTAAAATGCTTATGTTGGTAATGGTTCACGACATTAGTCGAATGGCGAAATAGTACCCAGGACTTTTTAGTTTCGCACACCATATTCTCGACTATTAGGCTAATGTCGGCTAACTTGATGTGAATGTGTAGTGGATGAAGTAAATGGTTGATTTCACCAAGAAGGTATTTCTAAGTTATAACTTCGAAGTGTACTAAACTTATGATTTTCTTTCAGTCATACGTGCGTGGAATACCAGACTATGATTTTGTTATCGGAACATTAAGATTTATAAGAAACTCAAGGCCACCCAGCGCTAAAGAAGAAGCTCCTGCAGAACCATTTCAAGCATTTAAAGGAGAAGGGTTCACACTGCGTACTGCTAAGTCAAAGAACTAAATAAGATATAATATTTTTAAAATGTATATGATTTTTAAAGAAAAATTATATCCATACGCGCCTTTGTTAAAATTTTATAATCGTAGTTCTTTCTTAAATTGAACATATTGATATAATAATTGTATACTATGGTAGTGATCATTTAATTATCTTATTCTTATTGTTTCACAATCACAAACACAATCTTAAATAATTAAATGATTGATACATTGATGATTCTTTAATTCTTATAACCGATAAGCGTATGCCAAATTTACTAAGCAAATTATTATTTTTGACGAAAAAGTTCTGATACAATTTAAAATAAAAACTTGTAAATTAAATTAGAATTAGAGTTTGCCTCGCAGTGAAAGACTACACAAAATGCTATCGAAAGCTAAACCTAATCAGATCGGGATCTTAAAAAGTCGGATGGTAACTTCAATAATAGTGAAACAGAAACATTGGAGTTACTATAGTCCGTTCGCGTTAAGAAAATAGTGAGTCATCAGTGTAACTACAGGGTAAAGGTGTATTCACAGTGGAGTAAATATTCTTATTTTTTCAAACATTTAATTAAGTTTAATGGAAACAAATTTTCTTAAAATTACTTAAATCACTAATTAGTATCGCTAGATTCTCCAGTTACATTAATTATGAAAGAATTTTGTTCTGCAAGTTCCATGATGTCATCCAAATTCCGCAAGGTATTTTCTTCGCGTATCACGTGGTCGCAGCACTTCTTCCAACGATTAGCGTCTATTAATGCTATTGCCTTATCTAATAATTTTTTATGTCACTCATTTTGAACGTGGAGTTATTGGCACCAACATTTTTTTATTTAGCCCAAACCAATTCAATTGGATTAAGTTTGCAATGGTAAGGCGGTAGGCGAAGAATTGTAAAGCCATTACTTTTGGCAGTCTCATCTATTAAATATTTATTATATTGTGGGGCGATTTCGCCAACTTTCATTAATAATTCTTTTTTTAAATAAGTCATGTCCATGGATTTGCCTTTGCTTTGCAGCCAATCTATTATTTGCTGCTTGTTCCAGCTGGTTGTTGGTATTTTTTCGACTCTTACCGAATGATAGGGAGCGTTATCCATGACAACCACACTTCCTGGTTCTAGCTTAGGCATTATATTAATAAACCAATTAAGGAATCTTTCACCATCCATCTCTTCATGATAGTCTTTTGTAGATTTAGATTCAAATACTAGTAGACCATCTTCCACGAATCCTTTGTCGCTGCCAATGTGCAATACAATTAACCTTTTACCTTTTCCTGTCGGAGCTTTTGGACCGGCTGATAAGCCATCTAGAAAGGTTTGTCTTATTTTTTGGCGTTGTATCCAATCAAGCTTTTGTCTTTACGTGTCCGGCGTTTACCCAAGTTTCGTCAAGTTAGTAAATGGTTTTATTAGCGGCTCTGTATTCTTTTATTTGCCTCAGATATGCCTCCATAAAACAATATCTTCTCTTTCGACTAACAATGTTCTGCTATCCTGTTTATTGAAATCGAAACCAAGCTCGTGCATTATTTTATGAACTGTGGTATGTTTGAAAACAGGAATATCTTCGTCAGCTTCGCAAAGTGTCATAACTTTGTCCAAAGTCGGGTAGTCGTTTTTTTTAAATATATTGAGTGAACTTTTCTCCTTATTGCACATTTGTCTAGTACATCTAATTTATCGAACGTCGATAGTCGAGCTCTTTTTTTCACGAGTGATTTTAATGTGTTAGTATCCTTTTGTTCTTTAATAATTTTATAAACAGTATTTTCGGACACACCACATGCACTTGCTGTTTTTATTACTGTGCTCTCCACAGTCGCATTTAAATCACACAGTTGTACTTATAAACATTGTAAATTACGAGTCTCTCTTCGCTATGGATTATTGATCCACTTTTATTCTTTCGAATAGGTGAGGTATTCATTTTCAAAATTTAATGTTGAACGAGTAACACGCAAAATACACAACCGTTTTGTTCGAAGGCCTGACTTCAACTGGTCACTGTGAACTCGACTTTCTAATTTCTTGCATTTTAATTGGCTGGGGGGCGTGACCAGGCCAAACTTTTTTTACACGGACTATAGCGGGGTAGACAAGAATTCAGCCTTGAATTCTTTCAGAGCCTTACGAAGGCCTTGTAATGAGGACTAGTGTAGGGTTGCAAACCTGGTGCAGTGGGCTGTTGACTCCTTTAAACCATTTAAATCAAGCGGGGAGGATGGAATAATTCCCATCCAACTACAGAGGGGTATCGACATCCTTCTTCCTTATCTGGTGAAAATCTTCAGAGCAAGTTTTGCATGGGGATATATTTTCTAGGACGATGGACAGTTGTCAAGGTTCTATTTATACCTAAGGCTGGTAGAAAGGACTACGCTTTACCAAAGTCCTTTAGACCTATAAGCTTATCTTCCTTTCTTCTTTAGACATTGGAAAAGGTTATAGATAGATATATAAGGGATGTAGCTCTAGCTACGAGGCCTATACATTACAACCAGCATGCTTACCGCAGAGGCAAATCTACGGAAACGGCCCTGATCAGTGTCATTGACAGGGTCGAAAAAGCACTGGAGGATAAAGAAATAGCTCTTTGTGCCTTTCTAGATATTGAGGGCGCCTTCGACAGTAGCCCCACAACACTGCTGATTGGAGGCCTGACGTCTAAAAATGTTGATACCACAACCATCAGATGGGTGAAGTCGATGCTCTCAAACAGAAAGGCAAAAATAGCGCTGTTTCAAACTTCGATTGAGGTTGCAACTACAAGAGGCTGCCCACAAGGAAGGTGTTTTGTCACCCCTTGTTTGGACTCTTGCGGTTGACCAACTATTGTACAAAATGGCAGACCTACGCATTGACACACTGGGTTATGCTGATGACCTAGTGATCATTGCGAGGCCAAAGTACTTTATCGTCAATAATACAAAGAGCCCTAAACACCATAAATAACTGGTGCAGGGATAACAGCTTATCAGTTAATGCTGATAAAACTGTTATAATACCCTTTATCAAAAAGAGATAGTTGGACAAATTAGTCCAACCAAAACTTAATGGTCACGGAAGTTAAGTACTAGGGCGTAACAATAAACATCAAAAAACTAACGTGGAACTCTCACCTTAGCAACGTATGCCATAAGGCAAAAATTGCTTTAGGTACGTGCAATCGTTTGGTCGGGAACAACTGGTACTTGCGTCCCAGTATGGTCCTATGGCTGTACACCAGCATAGTGAGGCCGATTCTCACCTTCGCCTCTATTGTCTGGTGTAACAAGGCCAACCAAAAGACGACTGTGGACAGACTAAATAGTCTACACAGGACTGCCTGCTTAACGGCAACTGGAGCTATGCGATCATCGTGTGGAGCGGCTCTTAATGCACTTCTATGCCTAACACCTCTTGATCTTTATTTAGACAAGAAGGCGAGGGCTAGTTTGTATAGGATTAACGCCCAGGGCGGTCTGAGCTTGCTTTCCTATAGATTAAGATCCATGCTCGAATCAATTAAGGAATCACCGGTCTAATGCATGATCTGAGATATCATGCGTCCACTACACACTTTTGATAAAAAGTATATAGTGGAATTACCCTCCAGAGAAGACTGGCTGAAAGGCCAGGTTATCTGTGAGGCCGGCAGCCTCATATGGTATACCGATGGGTCTAAAATGGGCCTCGACGTAGGCTTTGGAATTTACGGGGAACGCCCCAAATTCAAACTTAGTATGAATTTAGGGAGATACACCTCTATCTTCCAGGCAGAAATTTTCGCCATACTTCGGTGTGCGGAAATCAATCTGCAAAAACACTTCGTCTACCATATAATTTACATAAACTCTGATAGTCAAGCAGCACCGCTAGCGCTGAGGTCGAACTTAGTGAACTCGAAGCTAGTTGGAGACTGCTAACGTAAACGGGATTGGGATGTAACAACAGGGTCGTTTTAAGATGGGTTCCGGGTCACGACGGTATTGTAGGCAACGAATTTGCCGACAAACTTGCATGGGAGGGCTTAAAGTGTGCACAATTTGAACCTGAGCCATTTTGTGGAATCTCAAAAAGCCTAGCCCGATTGACCCTTGAAACTCTTTACCGCAATAAATCACTTAAGATCTGGTCTGACACACCAGATTGAACATATTGATATAATAATTGTAGTACCCGGATGACCGAGCTTTATTCGTTTTTTTTTAATTACATACAAATACATGAATAATATTTTTTGATCTTATTGACATAATAGAAAAAAACTAAACTGGTTATTTGAATAAAAAAACACGAGTGCAATTAGTTAAATTAAAATTTTCGTATTTTTAAAAAAACTAAAAAAAGGGCTCGAAATAATAGATTTTCTCGCAAAAGAAGGAAACTTGAAAAAAAAAAGGAAAAAAGTCGGACCCCAGACGGGACGCGAACCAAGGCATTAAATGCTGGTGTCAATAAATCGATCTAGCTAGGATTTATTTTTAGAAAATGTCTTTTTGTCCGTGTTTTCAGGCAATGAAAAACTGCTACAATATAAGAAGGTAAATTTTGACACTTTGTTACTGATCGTAATAGCTTAAGTGGATATCGAGCGGTCGTGAAATCGTAATGCCTTGGTTCGCGTTCCCTCTGGGGTCCGACTTTTTTTTCTTTTTTTTTTTTCAAGTTCCCTTCTTTTGTGAGAAAATCTATTATTTCGAGCCCTTTTTTAGTTTTTTAAAAATACGAAAATTTTAATTAAACTAATTGTTGCCCGTTTAAAGGTATATTATATAATTGTATACTATGATAGTGATCATTTAATTATTTTATTCTTATTGTTTCACAATCACAAACACAATCTTAAATAATTAAATGATTGATACATTGATGATACTTTAATTCTTATAACCGATAAGCGTATGCCAAATTTACTAAGCAAATTATTATTTTTTGGCAATAAAGTTCTGATACAATTTAAAATAAAAACTTGTAAATTAAATTAGAATTCGTTGTGTTATCAAAATCGACAAAAAATATTGTAA